TGAGTTCTGCAAAAATGCGGTCTCAATGACACGTCGAAGAACTCCATCACTAATTAGGTCCCGGGTCCTGACCTGCACGGTCTGTGGCCTGACCCACAGCATCTGGGAAGCACAAAAGCAATTGTCGGCAGAAACACAGCTGGGTTCGTGAGGGTTCGTGGGGGTTCGTGGGGGTTCGTGGGGGTTCGTGGTTCGTGGTGGTTCGTGGTGGTTCGTGGGGGTTGCGTGCCGAAATCCCAGGCCCCCAAACGTTCGTGCATTCCGGCTTTCGGGTTCGAACCGAGGTTCGTGCTAACCCCTTCGTGAAGGGTTCGTGGTGGCTGCTTCCTTTAACGTAGCACAGCAAACTTGGTTCGCAGAAGGTTCGCGGCAGGGTTCGTGCTAACCCTGGCTCGGGTTCGTGCTGTGTCCCCCGAGGGTTCGGGGCAGGGTTCGTGCTATCTAAGCTTGGTTTGTGTTTAATAGAACGGACAGATGTTGCCTGTTGAGAGGATCAGCCTAGGTCAACTTTTGGGAAACCTCTTGCACTTTGTTTGAGGACACTTCCTACACTTCCCTTGGCAAATACTTGGCAAAAGCTGTTGCTTCCATCGTGCACAGTGCTTATTACAGAGTGTAGCCGACTGCTTGCTGAAGCTTGGGCAGGTTCGAGTGATTGTCATCATATCAGGCTAGTCCCATTGCGTTTTCGCAGTGCTTGGTCTGACGCCGCGCATTCTTGGCTAGAGGTGCGGGTGGTCTTGCGTTTGTAGCACAAAGGCTTAGAGGTCTGTTCTTCGAGTTGGTCTCAATAATGTCGGCCTTGATGAAGTCGGTCATTGCCATGGTCGATTTTGTCGCACTGGTCATGGACTATGTGCTGTAGTCACATTTGCAGTCTCTACATATGCAACGAAGAGAACCCTGCTCATCAGCGTTCATGTAAGGCAAGATGAAACCCAAGTAGCAGGACAAGCAGGCATGGCCAAGACAAGACTACGTGAGCAGAGAGCCACCACGCAGTTCAGAAACAAGTGTCCTTTAATTAATCAGCAAGGGAAGTTGGCACGCGACTGTTTGGGAAAGACCCTGCAGGGCTTGCCCTACAGCAAGGGAAGTCAAAGTGTTCTTGTGAGGGTTCTGCGCACGGCCGGCGCATCCTTTTGGCCCAGCGCGCCCCATTTCAAGCACCCATGGATTCATAACAACATCGGACACTACACAGAACCATAAAGCCAAACAAGGAAAGACACTCACCCACTGTTGTCGGCTTTTCCAGGTTAGTCAACTTGGGGAAAGAGATTGCCATGCCCCGTTTGCGTTCCAAAAACGCTGCTGCCTTGGGATTGGATGGTCCTGACGGTCCGACAGGGCCAGCCAGAAGGAAACAGCTCAGCAAGGTCTATGAGCGGAACAGAAAGGAGAAGCTGGGTCAGGTCAGCCGCCAGAGCAAGTATGAGAACCTGCCAGAGGTCCAAGCGGTCAAGCACAAGCCCCATGAACGGAAGCAGGTGTTAGCAAAGTTGTACAGGCAAGCCGGCAAAGTCGGGAAGTCTAAGCATCCACTGCCAGTCAGTGACAAGCCTGAAGCAGCACCAATGAGAGCGGTCATTGCAATCGATGGTCCGGTCATTGGCGACGCAGCCGAACATGTGGGATTGCAGCCGCCCTGCGGTCTGATCATTGCTGGCCAGGCCGATGGTGAAGCGTTGCAGCCGGCCATGCTGCCTGCCTCAATTGAGGAAGACCAGGTGGCCATGTTCTGCCACTGCAGTGCTGAGATGGAGCATCTGAAGCAGCAGATACTTGACCTGGAAGCAAAGAACGTCAGCTTGAACAAGGACATGGTCTTTCAGGGCCGTGTTTTGCGGTGGCATCAGAATGTCAGAGACTGGGTCTCCAGTGTGGCCTGCCAGGCCATGTCCCAAAGGTCCGTCAATGTGCCACCTTGGCTAGTGTTGCAGGGCCAGCGGCTGGACGATGATCAGACTGAACCTGAATCTGACATGGAAAGGTCACCATGCTAGTCTCTCAAAAAAGGGGCACAATGAAGTTTCGGGGTCACTTAGATGCGAGGCACTGTCAGCGCCGCATCTGGTCTGGGTTTATGCAAGCCAGCAAACGCAGGCCTGCAACACAATGGGCAGAGGAAAAAGCTGCGGCACGAGTTTGCTGCCATATGCCCACACCAACGCTTGGTTTAATCTTGTTCACACAGCCTGTGCCCAGGGGGTCAATTGTGCTGGGTGGGGCCCATCAATCTGGCCTTTACAAGCTGTTCATATTTGAAGACCCACTTGGTGCCACCCTTGCAGCATAGCCCGGGAATGCGCTGAGTATGCTTGTGTCTTATAACATGCCAGTGCTTTCTTAAAGCTCAGCCGATCCGAGCATCATTGCGAGACTAACCACGTTGATGCAAAAGGCCGCTGCCACAGATGATGTTTAGCCTTAAGCCCATCACACATCCCACGTTTAAAAGTCGGTCAACACACACAAGCACAACAAGCCCACACAGCAGCTAGCAGTAGGTTGTGAACTCTGAACGCGTGCGGCTTTTCCGCTCCCACCAGCGTTCCAGTGGCACGAGCCATTTCAGTGGCACTTGGTTTTATTGTTGTTGGCCACTCTGCCCGGAGAACTGGCCAAATTCCAGCTAGCAAAAATAGTTGCTACTGTCACAAGTGGTCTGAGCAATGTTGTTCTTTGCTTGACAAGCAGGGTCAGGTAGCGGAGTGCGGCTTGAACAATTTTGGCAATGTTGGCCTTGCCTAGTTGGACTGGCCTTGCTGGACTTGCTTTGTGAGTGCTTGGCCATGTTGAACTTGCCTTTTTCTTGCATTTGGTGGTAAGTAAGCACACAGGTCCACAGTCGCCCTTCGCATGTATTCATTCCTGTGTTTGAAACTGGTTTTCGAGCATACTTGGCACTATGTTTTTGAACATTCACAGGTGCAAGTATGGAAAGTGTTTGGACTTCCACCAGGTGAGCTGAGGATTCCGCGGTACAAATCAGATGGGCCCAGTACAACACTACAGTTGTTTCTATTAATTAGCTGAGATCCTTTCCACGAACCTTGGAGTGCTGAATTGTTTTTCCCGCAGGCTGGGGTCAAATGCTGCATTCTCACTAGACACTCACCGCGCCAGCATGGACGAGTTTGTTAGGACTATCATGGTAATGGTGGTCTTCTACACGGGCGCGGTCGTGCTGGTCACGGTGTGTGGCACTTGTTGGTGGGTCAAGCGCGCAGAAGCAAAGGTCTCTCGTGAGCAGGACATGACCGCCTGCGACTTCGGGACACCGGTTGTGTATGTCTTGGATGGACGTGCAAAATACCATCATAGGCGCTGTCACCATGTGAAGAATCAGCACATGAAGGCCATTGCCAAAATGGCATGCGCTAATTGTGCTTGGTTGTGGTCATTTCCTAAGCACGGCTAATTTGTCGGTCTTGGTGCACGGTGATTAGCACCAACTGCAGGGCTGAGTTCTTTTGACTGCCACGGGCTTCCTTCTTCAAATCATTGTGCAGTAATGTGCGTCCAGCCTGTCCGCGCGCCCTTGACGACTTTTTTGCTACTGATGTCCACTGCTGTCACGGAGCCAAAGCCCTTCAACCCTTCAATGCGGTTCACATCTAACAAACATTGGTAAAGAATATTTTTTCATAGTGGCAGGGGCGCAGCGCTCTAAGGTCATGAAAGAAACAGGCGCGGGAACTCATTCCAACTTGCGGGGTTCTGATCCATACAGAGGGGTGATAGGCCTCAGTTGGGGAAGAAAGTGCTGCCTGTATTCTGTACAGTAGCTTTACACATGGTTTGGATTCCGGACTGTGATTGGGGCACTGTTCATGAATGAAGGGATTGGGGCAGAGGGCGGTGGCTTGATGTTGCTGCAATGGTTGGCCTGCACGCAGAAGACTATTATTCCTGGAGGCTGGCCAAGTTGACAATTGCAGTTTTGCACGAAAGCAAGCTGCAGTGCTGGTTGTATCATGGCTTTTCGCTGCGGTTCTCAGTGGGTGTTTGACTTGATAGAATCTAGAAAGGACACTGCGTCGAAAGCCAACAGTTGCCAAACATGTGCACATCACACACATGCTGGTGCCAGCATCATTTGGCATAATCTGAGTCCCGTGCCTTGCTTCCCATTCATGTCGGACTGCGTGGCTCCACCTCCACACCCTCAACATCAGCCGGAGCGGTGTGATGTCGTGCCACATGCTGGTCATGTGGAGGTCAGCGCTTGGGGAGAGAAGTGGCTACTCAGACACAAGCAGACTGGGGAGGCAGTTGTGGGCTCTGGGGAAGCTGTGCTGCATTTTGATGACAATGAACGAGGCTTTCTTAACATCAGGCGTGGTGAGGAAACGACCGCGGTCTGGGTCAGGGATTTGCTCCAGAGACGAGTGTTGTTGGATAAGCCCTCTGGCAAGCAGTTTGTCTACGACAAAGACAAGAAAGAGCTTCAGTGGCTTGACGCATTCTGTCAGCAAAGAAACTTTCTTTACCCACGTGAAGCACTTCGTGGTCCGTTTCGGGAGGACATGGTCACGCTCATTGAGTGCAATCAAGAGAAAAGGTTCTTCTGGCTCCTTCGGCCTTTCACAAAGGTCAAAAACAAAGAAGTCACAAAAAAGCTGAGACAGCAATGGCTTCCATCGTTTGAAAGGATGCTTGGCCAGGATGCTCGTGGCCATGTCTTGTGGGGAGAAAGGTGCAAAATGCCTGCAGCTGCTTTGGAGGAAACAGCTCACGACGTATTCGTATCCACGAGCTTGGTCTTATATCTTCTTGCCCTTTTTTCTGCGCAGCACGGAACCAAGCAGGTGCAGACATATTTGCAAAGCTTTCTATGTCAAGTCCTGCCAGACAAGGTGCAGCTAAATGTGAAGATCAATGACTGTACGCTCCATTTGTCACTGAATCAGGGGCGGGTGTCCTTGTCTGAGCTCACAGCCCGCACCGCCTTTCGGGAGCGGCAAAAGAGCTTGCGTAGAAAGATCACGCGGTCAATGGGCGAGGAACGCGGCCTTGCAGACGTGTTGGTGCAGCTCTTTCGGTGGAATGAGTACAAATGGCTTTTCCGCGCACTCCTGCAAGGTCTCACTCCAGAGCTTGAGAATGGAATTGCTTGCAAACAGTTCGAGTCCACGCCCCTGGAGTCCGATGCCTTTGACTGGTCTGAACCAGACTGGCGCGACCCCAATGTGCGACTTGCTCGGTTGCAGGCAGCACTGACCACACGCAGCCGACACAAGAAGAAAGGTCAATCGGCGAATGAAAAGCTATCAAGGAGACAGCTGGGCCAGCGGAAAGCACAGACGGCAATGGCACGCTCGATGCTGACCTTTCGACATCGCCGGCAAGAAAGGTCTCAGTACTGGCAGACAGTGCGCAAAAAGTTTGCCTCCGCTGTAAGGGTTCATACCGCCTTCGACGGGTCCCGGGTCGGCGGTCGCAAGTGGGTGACCTTCTGCGTGCTCAGTGGAGGTCTCGCTTGCTGGGCCCCTCCGGTCAGATACCGTGATGGTGGCTACCGGCCTCCCGACTCAGAGCAGAAGCCAAATCAAGCGGAACAAGAGCGCTTAGATCTCCGGACCCTTGAGTTCCTGGAAGAACTGCGGAGCCGGGAGGCCACAGCAGAACCAACCTCGGTGGTGCAGAAGGTCTCGAGTGCCCTGGCCAAAGTAAATTGTTTTTCCTTTGGCTTGCACACAAAAGCGTGTTACATGCTGGCTCGCTTTCAAATGGCCTGTTGCGTTCTCAGGACTGCCGTCTTACGAGCAAATCATGGGCCTGGACCACACCTTGAGCTGCATACTTCCCCACATGAACGGCCTGTCAAGTTTCCTTCCAACCGACGCAGAAGCAGGGAAGCCTCTCCTCGAACTTCCCACTTTGTGTCTGACAGCTGACGGCGGCCCAGATGTGAATTCTGCCCTGATGTTTCTACAGTACGGCGCCGGTCTGAGAATGATTTCTTTTTGGGACCCCAGACACCGGATCTCTCGAGAGTTGGAGAACTCTATTACCCATGGTGGGTCTGGCCTGAGAGGCGCCATGCTGGCAGCCGAGTTCATTCTGTCTTTCCAACGAGGCCCGTGGTCTGGTCACAAATGGCACCGAATTCTTCAAGAAGAAGCGAGCGAATGGTTAGCTCAAGCAGCTGGCCAGAGCGATGCTTTGGTCCAACACCTTTTGCCCGGTATAGGCAAAGAGCTCGGCCTGAGCCAGACAGACATCAGTCGAACTGACATTCTGGCAGGTCTAGCAAATGCTAAATTTCTCCAGCACCGTGGCCCAGCATCGGCAAGTCGCTGGGATGCATTTCATGCAGGCTGGTCTGAGCGACGGTCAGAGCTGTCCCTTATGCTTGGCCTGCTGATCAGTTTTGGCTTGAAATGCGGGTATCTCAGCGGAGTGCTGAACAAAGCTGGGTGGTCTGAGACACGAGCCGCAGAGTGCGACGACAAGAGCACTCTCAAGGCAGAGACAAAGGCGCAAATGTATCGCCAGTGTCGGAACAAGCTACACGTGGTCACCATGACTCTGCTGAACACGGACGTGGTCTCGATGATCCAGGCATGGTATTGCATTTCTGTCCCGGTCAGTGACTTTGCTAAAAGCACGTACCTCCTGTGGAACTTGGGTACGTGGGTGGGCTGGTGTGTGGGCATGCTCGAGCACGTGGGCGATATCACGCGCGTGCAGGTGCGCACTTGTGGCTGGCTGGGCAGGTGTGTGTGTGTGTGTGCGTGCGTGATCATGTGCGTGCGCACGAAAGTGGGTGCGTGCACACGGGCGTGTGTGGGTGTTTGCTTTGCGTGTGTGTGTGTGTGCGCGGGCGTGTGTGGGTGTTTG